ATATGCAAAAAATGGAAGTTTTTGAAAGAACGAAGCATCCCATTTGAATGATTAAAAAACTTTTGGCTTGTACTGACGAAGCGATTATTTTTGCGAGAAGCAAAAAAAATATTTTTTTTAATTAAAATTTTAATTTTAGTTACCATTCTAAATCTCTATACTTTTAATAAATAATTTTAACTTTGCAATTCAGTTCATATAATTCCTAGAGTTATGAGAAAAGGTCCTTCATTCTAACTCTACTTGATTAAGTTTTGTTTATTCACATTGATGTAAACTTATATAAACGTTATATCCAATTCATACTCTTATATTTTGTCTGTAAAATAAGAATGAAGTTACACTATTTATAAGAATATATTTGAAAACATTTAATATTCCTTGAATATTTCATTACGGTGCGGGAAGTTCCAGCAATTTGCTTAAAGACACAGTACCATACACCACAAGTTGTTAGATTGAAGGACACAAACAGTTTTAGATGATTCATTAACCAAAACCAATAACCAAGTTGTTAAAAACTATTTTAAACATAGTAGTTGTTGTCCAAAGAAGTTTCAAGGAAACAATAGTCAAATGTAAGAGAAGCTGAAAATTTTAAATGTGATAGTATGACCAAATTAGTACAGTACCATAAATCTCGTAAAAAATGTGGCATGCTTTGCAGTGTATAAACCATCCATGTAATTAGTGTTAGCTTCTCCTTTTAATCATATATATACCACATACTTCCACATTTACAATCAGTTTGGTGGGTCAGCTAGTATATAAATATATACATCTTATATATAAAATTCTTCTGTACGAGTGTATGATTTGATACTTCTCCTAAACGGTTATTCGGATTTTTATAATTCTTTTTAGAGTTTGTCAAAGGAAATTGTTGAAATTTAATGAACGAAAAAACAATAGTAATATTGCAGTAATAACTGGCAAAAATTACAAAAAAAAACATTTATCATTGTTTGACATTGAAAACATTTGAACTGTCATCTGCTAGAAATGTCAATTCAGTTGAAATTCGAATTTAGCTGTAATTATGAGCCTAGATAATATTAGAATATAATATACAAGAAAAATGTAATGTCTACATTATTATTGCCGAAAAGCAGCTGAGATGTGCCAGGGATTAAAATAATATAAAATACAGTCAACAGTAGATGCTTGGCAGATTAAATTATATAATTCAGTTTAATAAATAACGCAATAAGTCCAAAATTGCATATAAATTATTTTTTTAAACTTATGCATGTTGCATTTTGGTTTACTTTACTGAAATTTAACAATACGAAAGAATATTTCTACTTATTAAAAAAATGATTTAGAATTTTGTTTCATGTGTCAAAAATTCATTTGTTTGGCATTGGATTTGAAATATTTAGTTAGTTGATCGTAGATTGAGTAGAGCACATATGAACTAGATATTACAAATTAATTCAGCTAAGATTTGAACATAAACAATAATGTTTATTAAATTATTAGTTAGATATGGGTACAGGACAACGTCTGTTGGGCCATCTAGTATATATATATACACACACACATATATATATATATATATATATCTATATATATTGTGGCGTGTGCAGATACCTTATTCAAATAGTAGCATCAGGTGTGTTTAGGTTTATGCTACTGTACATCTCCTAATTTAAGATGTTTAGACAAATACACACGCACACCTTACAATATATATATATATATATATATATCTTTGTGTTATAAAAACAACTCACACACAGGTTCTAATATAATAAGTTGAAGTGTATTAACCTATTAACGAAATTCCACCTGTGCTGTAGGTACATCTACATTTATACATATATACATATATATATATATATATATATATATATATATATATATATAATGTGTGTATATATAGAAAAGTCTTAATCCCTAAAAACAATATGATATGCAGGAAAAGAAAAGAAAAAGTTCAAATATTGGATTATCTTTCACGTGGCTTCCTAACAGATGCTGGTCGAGGATTTTGTTCAGTATAGTTTTAGAAACACTGGTTTAATAATAAATGTGTTATATAATTAAATTAGAGCGGTATCGAACGATTTAGAATGACTTGAAACGTTAGTTAAATATGAAATTAAAAAATTGGTACGCCTAGAAAAAATATAAATTACTACGCCAGCTACAAATAAATAATAAAAAAAAAAATATTGGATATAAGTACAGGGTATCCCAGAACCTAATGACAAACCGAAGCGGGGTGATAGTATTGACCTTAACTGCCCTGAATAGAATTAGAGAAAAAATTTAACTCTGTTTGGAAATTATGAGCTATTAAGTGCAACCTAAGGCTTTTGTGGACATATAACTATTTTTGGTTATTGTGCTTAATTTTCATTAATTTTGTCATTTAAACTTTGGATTCGTAACCGTGAATAACATTTCTAGGACAAACAATAACACAATTGCCTCAAATTTTGAAGAATTAAGACTTTTTGTTGAACCATGATTTAAAATTTTTAAAATCGGTCGACTTGGACAGGTTTGACTTCTTTAGAAATTGTACTGAAGTGTGTTGGCACGTTTCACCAAAAGTTGGCGGATTTAATCATGATGGTAAAATGATTAAAAACTTTGTTATTTGAAATTTTTCGAGTAAGAAATGAAACCTTAAAACAGGTATTTCTATCAGTATGGATCAACCGACATGAAAATGTATCAAACACTTGAAAACGATTCAAAATTTAAAAAAAAATTTTAAAATCCTATTTTCAAAAATATTTAAGTTTTCAAAAAAAATCCTGAGCTTTTAAAATATATCAGTATTTCCTACAAGGATTTTTTTCACTATTTTCAACTTGCAAATTTTTCAAAAGTTTTCAAAATTTTCAAAAATTCTCAACAAAAATCTTTTTTTCTTTTCTGAGTTTTTTTAAATTTTAAATTATGACATTATTTTTAAATGTTTTCAAAATTGTTCTCTCAAAATTGTTCCAAAGAATTTTATTTTTCTTTTCCGAGCTTTTAAAAATTTTAAATTATGGTATTATTTTCAAATGTGTTCAAAATTGTTCTATCAAAATTCTTTCAAAAAATCTTATTTTTCTTTTCTGAGCTTTTAATAATTTTAAGTTACTTTCAATTGTGTTAAAAATTGTTCAAATTGTGTGTGTGTATGTGTATGTATGTGCGGACACAATTTTCGGTCGACGGTTTCGAGAACACGGATCAAAAAATTTGCCTGATTAGTCTTTGGCAAAAGCAGGTTGAATCGTTTGGGAGATACTGGACAAAAAGTGCCAAAAATGGTAATTCAGTTTTTGAGAGAACCGAGGGTCCGATTTGAATGATTTAAGAAAAAATTTATTTGTATTGACAAAATGAAGAACTGATGGAATTCTTGGTAAGGCAGATCTAGCGGTTTTGGAGATCCAATAAAAAAAGTGAAAAAAAGCCATTTAGCGAACAAAAATGATGATTAAACATATGCAGACGAATTATCACATATTTTCTAGATATTTTTGCAATAGGAACAAATTTTGTTTACTTTTCTATGTGTACCAATGATTAGCCGGTTAACTGCGTCGCAGCGACGACGCGCTTCAATATTTTGTTTCTACACAGCTAACGTATTGCGATTGCTTCGAAACAAAGTTAGAAATTTCCAAAATATTTCAAAGTATATAAAACAATTAATTTTTTCAAAAAGATCATTTTTTTCAAAAATTCGTTCTAAACGAGTTCTAATTTTTGGTACGGGAAGTTTCACTAATTTGCCTTAAGGCACGATGCTATGCACCACTAGTTTTTCACTTGCTGTTGGTATCATGCAGCAGTGATATCTAAACGTTTTGCCATACAAAACTAAGTTATTAAGGGCAGTCTCACACTAAGCAAGATTACGGACCTATCCTTGGTTGTGGGATTCACTATTTATATATGTATATATGTATATA